GCCCAGTCACTTTAAGCTTGTTCAACTCTTTTGCCATATCAGCAAAGAGTCCACCCCATCTGGTGAGTGGGGACAGAGCATTTATCACGGATGGTGGGAGCACATTCGTTTCAAGAATTTTTGGAGCATGTTTCTTTTTGGGATTGAGCACAATTTATATATATTTTTTGTGTGGACTTTAGATGTTTTTTGGACTTTTATTTATAATATTTTTAATTTTCACATATAATTTATTTGCGCTGTGGAGTGTTTATAGTAAAATTGATTATAACCCTCCCTTATTCTAAGCAAAATTTTAAAAAAAGTTTTGCCTTTAGATCTAGTTTAATATACGAGGGATGTTCAAGTCAAACTGGGACTTTTGAGGTCATATAATAAAAGAACAAATTTCAAGAATTGGAAAACGGAATTTATTTTTCGACATACTCCCCTGCTACATTTATATATACTTATCCCAGCATTTAACTATTGTCTGGAAAGCTTCAGCTTAGAAAGATTTGTCAGTACGCCTTAACCATCCTAGGACAGCCTGCTTCATTTCCTCATCAGTGCTGAAATTTGTCTCTTGCAATTTCACAACAGGTTATGCATAAATTATCCAGGATCAGACGTTACACACAATGAATGTCCACAGGAATTACTGCTGTGGGCTGGGAACCACCATGGCCGGGATCGTCATTGACAGGTGTACGGCCATCTTTGAAATGTTTACACCTTTCAAATGTCTTACTGAGGCTTGGGGGTTTTTTTTTTACTAAATCTGGAGAGTCCAAAATCAGACTCCCTTCTGCATAGAAACCAATCAGCTTCTAACCTCAGCTTGTTCAATGAAGCTTTGGCAATGAAACATGGAAGCTGATTGTTTCTATGCAGAAGGGAGTCTGATTTTGGACTCTCCAGCTTTAGTAAATAAACCCCTTGGTGTCTCATCACCATACTGTGTTGAAGTCTTCTTTAGATGTCCATGGGTTTTATGCCTTCATTCACAAGAAACTTCAACACCACACACTGTTCTATGCATGCACTAACACTGTTGTCTGCCATCTTGATTAACGGTCTCTGGACTGGCCCACGATATGTGCACTGCTTATCAGTAATAGGACACACTAGCCACTCACTACTGTATGGAGTACCGCCATGCTAGCCTCCCTTTTTATACCTGTAAAATAAAAGTCCTGATTTGACTTGAACGCCCTTCGCATTTTCACTAGTTCAACAATAGTGTCCTTTTGACTCATGAAAAAATATGTGACATTCCCAAGAACTGACAACAGAAAGAAAATGCATTTGTAGTCCAAGGACAAAGGGAAAGAGTCAGTATGTTGGAACTGGTGGTTTGAACTAGAATCTTATTTTTATTTATATTACAATTTACTTAGATGACATTTCCATGATGCCTAAAATTCTCACATCCAGCTGTTTCTATTTGTGCTTTTGTAATGCTTAAAAGCACATTCACATAAATTACCTGACAGGCAAGAGTAGCATGTGCTCAATCCACATACCCTGCTTTCCCTCTTTAAGAACTTTTTTTTTTACCTTAATCTATATAATGTATTAATGCAGCATCTTATTAAATTAAGTTTTAATATCACTAGTTATACTTTGGCAAGAAAATTTAATAATATATATTTTTTAGAGTATATTAACTAGAGAGCCTATTGCCTTAGTAGACAATGATAATACAGGGCTCTTGTACAGTTTAATATCTTTCTAGCAGCTATATACTGTATGTTACCATAGAATTAGGTCAGAAGAAAAATCTTTTGGTACAGCAATTGTATCTATCATTAATCATTTAATAGACATTCTAAAGGCACACTGCAAATCTTATTTTAGAGCACAGCTAGTAGAAATAATAGGCATAGAATAGGAAATGTATAACAATTTACAGATTGGGGCATGGTGGAATTATTTGCACCCAAAATCTTTTGAATATATGGCCACAGCAAAACAAACTATAAAGAAAAAATATACAGCAGGTTAATCTGCAATTCAATATTTTCAAGCATCGTCAAACATATTTGCTGTGATCTTGCAATAATAGCAGTGAGATCACAGAAGTTAGAATTCTTGATCAGTACCTCATTAATTAAAAGCTTTTTAGGAAGTTGCAATTTACAGTTGAGACTAAGAATTCCATTCATTTTCTGCTGCTGACACTTCATCCTGACCTGCTGTCAGAACAGCTGTCAACTCAGTCGCTTTCAGGCATGTGTTTCTAATATTAGGGCCAGAGCCCAATTACAGATCCTAGAACACAATGTAGGAAGGGTGTGCACATATCAAACAAAATATGTACAGAGGCTGCAGTGAACAGAGAACAGTTGGTTAGGCTTTTGTTCTTTGCTGATTATTATCAGTCCAGGAATCTCCAGGATCATCCTCACATTTTCAGTTAAGTCTCAGTTGCTGCTGCTGTGGATCCCAGGACATAGCTGGTGACAAAGGAGCACTGACATCGGACTATAAATGTCAGGATTATCCTTGAGTTTCTGGAGTGTGGAGGTGGGTCCCCAAGCCATAACCTGCAGCTGGGACCCTACCAGTAAACAGGACTATCCAGGTCATATTCTGTGCTCTCTAACATGCAGAACTGCATGTCTGCAAACATGTGCATGGATGGTGGTTTGGGACCTTCATGCCTCATCCCCCCGATCCAAGTCCATAACAATCCATGTATGCCTGGAGCACACCTCACACAGGGTCCTGTAATATATTGTGCTTTAGATTAGGGCTCTGAAAGTCCACCCCAACACCTGGGGCCCATAGAACAAGGGGGCCCAGGTCATTTGGTGCATGTTCCATGAGGATGGTCTTCTTTCACCACCAGGAATGCAAATCCTTTCCCTAATCACCAGCAGCTCCTAGGTCTATCAAGTTTGCACTAGTACTTACAGATACTCTGTACCCCAGTTATTGGCTGGGCATACTGATTCACACTTTTAGTCTCTTTCATCATACCACACAGAAGCTGATTGTTACATTGAATCTCTTTACTGGAAATAAGTGTAAACAGTCCATAATGCTGGGATCAGTACAATTCCATAAAGAGGGTATTGGTACCTTAACAGTCCATTTAGATAGTAATAGTCCCAAAAGAGTGTAATGCTTCCATAAAGTCCAGCAAGGTGTAGGGGATTACACGGATATGATATCTTCTCTTAATTTGAAAGCCCCATTTCATTACTAACTAGACCTCTCCTCCAAAGGAAGAGAGCACACAGCTCCTCTTTTACATTTTCTCTTCAGGGCAACTCACTCTGCCGCTCAGCCCTTCCCATCCCTTATATATGGGGAAATCCTGACTCTCGGCCTATAGGTCAAGTTGTACAGTTAAAGGGGAAATAACACAAAACTATAAATGTGGGGACAGCAGCAGCCACAGGCTTACTTGTCCTGGTCCTGACTGGTCCTCTCTTTGTCATGGGCCCTATGACAAACAAGTGGTGGTAGTTTCACCAGTGTATGGTACTGATGTTACAGCCAATCATGTCAGCAAAGTCAAGTTCATTACATCATACAGTTCTTAAAATCCCTTTTCACCAGACTGTACGTCACAAGCTATATCCAACTGCCCTATGCGAACAGTACCTTTTATATTGTCTTTCCAGTGATGGATCGACTTCACTACAGCCAGCCTGCCCATAGATAGTTTGAATTTCAGCCGCTTCCTGGCTGCGATTCGATCCACCTGTGGCCAGCTTTAGGCTGGCAATGCATTAGTAATTTTTTTTTCCCTTCAACCAGCAGGTTGATTTAAAAAAAAGTGATCCAATTCCCCCATCCACACATCGTGGATGTGGATGAGGGAATGCTTTCCACTGTGCCTCTATATTCCGATAGCGGGAAGCTGGCAGCACTGACAGATCATGAAAAAATTGACAGGCTGGTTGTACACAACTGATCGATAGATTAAAGTGGCTGTAAAGGCTCAAGGTTTTTTTCACTTTAATGCATTCTATGCATGAAGGTAAAAAACCTTCTGTGTGTAGCAGTGCCTCATTGCAATCCAGCAATGTGAATGACAGTCTCGGCTGGCCTGGGTCTCTGCTTCCTCATTGGCTGAGACAGCAAATGGAGCCATTGGCTCCTGCTGCTGTCAATCACAGACAGTCAGGCAATGACGAGAGAAGAAGGGGGTGGGATTAAAGCCATGGCTCCGTGTGTGGATGGACACACGGAGCAGTGGGTGCCCCCATAGCAAGCTCAAGGGAGGGGCCAGGAGAGCCTGCGGGGGACCCGAGAAGAAGAAGAGGATCTGAGCTACTCTGTGCAAGACCACTACACACAGCAGGTAAGTATAGACATGTTTGTAATTAAAAAAAAAAAAAATAACCTTTAGAATTGTTTTAACTTGCAACAGCCTGCCCATACATTGATTGAAATTCAGCCAGAACTAGCCAAATATCAATCTTAAAATAAAAATTATCACCACAGTTAGTTCCAAACCAAAAGAATGGAAGAATAGAAGAAGTCCATATTAAAAATGGATAGAACTGCTTTCAGGCATCTAGCTGGGCTAGTTCCTCTCCAAGCTGTGTAGGTTGTCCTTTGCAGGACAGTGGAGCTCCCTCCTTCAGCTCTCCTCTTTCCTCCTTCAGCTTCCAGACTCCAGCCTTCCTCCCGATTTTAAAAAAGTGGGGTATTCACTTATTCTTTGGTATTTTGTAATGGATTTTTGGGTTATCTTAACATTTCTTTCTGTTACCCGATTTTTAAAGCTATCTGTGTCCCTAAAGAGGAGATTTCTCTTGCATTTGTATTTTTGGTCTGAAACCCAACACCTGGATTAGAAGTAAGAGAAATATTCCTTATGGTAAAGATTAGAGATCTTTACCATAAGGAATTAGAATAAGGAGATCTTTACCATAGAGCGAATTATTCAAAAATTCGATTCGGCTGATTCGGCGAATTCGCGGAATAAATTCGATTCGAGTCGAATATATTCGCTGCGAATTTAACTTATAAAAAGGGTGTTTCTAGGCTTCAGAGAGCCTTTATATTAGTGCAGAACACTGTACCTTTAATTTAAATGCCCTTGGAGTCTGCTGGGGAAGAGAAATAATACTGTCAGTCAGTATGACATGCAGACGAGTGCCGTCGATCTTAGAATCACCGCACACTTCACTCATTTGGGCAGTCACGGGGCCAAAACCAGAGTGTGGAGCCACAGTGTGGCGGTGGAGGCAGCAGCAATGGGAGGCCATACAGCACCCTATGACAAAATGGAACCCACCAGCAGTGTGAGGAGACCTGAAAGTGGCACATGGCAGAGTGTGGCGATGGAGACAGCAGCAATGGGAGGCCGTACAGGGACCCATGACACACTCTGGACCTGGCAGCAGCATGAGGAGGCGGTACAGGGACCCATGACAGATTACGGGCCTGGCAGCAGCATGAGGAGTCGGTACGGGGGCCCATGGCAGATTACGGGCCTGGCAGCAGCAATGGGAGGCCATACAGCACCCTATGACAAAATGGAACCCACCAGCAGTGTGAGGAGACCTGAAAGTGGCACATGGCAGAGTGTGGCGATGGAGACAGCAGCAATGGGAGGCCGTACAGGGACCCATGACACACTCTGGACCTGGCAGCAGCATGAGGAGGCGGTACAGGGGCCCATGACAGATTACGGGCCTGGCAGCAGCATGAGGAGTCGGTACGGGGGCCCATGGCAGATTACGGGCCTGGCAGCAGCAATGGGAGGCCGTACAGGGACCCATGACACACTCTGGACCTGGCAGAAGCATGAGGAGGCGGTACAGGGGCCCATGACAGATTACGGGCCTGGCAGCAGCATGAGGAGTCAGTACGGGGGCCCATGGCAGATTACGGGCCTGGCAGCAGCAATGGGAGGCCCGTAATCTGCCAGCACCCTATGACAAAATGGAACCCACCAGCAGTGTGAGGAGACCTGAAAGTGGCACATGGCAGAGTGTGGCGATAGAGACAGCAGCAATGGGAGGCCGTACAGGGACCCATGACACACTCTGGACCTGGCAGCAGCATGAGGAGGCGGTACAGGGGCCCATTACAGATTACGGGCCTGGGCAGCAGCATGAGGAGTCGGTATGGGGGCCCATGGCAGATTACGGGCCTGGCAGCAGCAATGGGAGGCCGTACAGGGACCCATGACACACTCTGGACCTGGCAGCAGCATGAGGAGGCGGTACAGGGGCCCATGACAGATTACGGGCCTGGCAGCAGCATGAGGAGTCGGTACGGGGGCCCATGGCAGATTACGGGCCTGGCAGCAGCAATGGGAGGCCCGTAATCTGCCAGCACCCTATGAAAAAATGGAACCCACCAGCAGTGTGAGGAGACCTGAAAGTGGCACATGGCAGAGTGTGGCGATGGAGACAGCAGCAATGGGAGGCCGTACAGGGACCCATGACACACTCTGGACCTGGCAGCAGCATGAGGAGGCGGTACAGGGGCCCATTACAGATTACGGGCCTGGCAGCAGCATGAGGAGTCGGTACGGGGGCCCATGGCAGATTACGGGCCTGGCAGCAGCAATGGGAGGCCGTACAGGGACCCATGACAAACTCTGGACCTGGCAGCAGCATGAGGAGGCGGTACAGGGGCCCATGACAGATTACGGGCCTGGCAGCAGCATGAGGAGTCGGTACGGGGGCCCATGGCAGATTACGGGCCTGGCAGCAGCAATGGGAGGCCCGTAATCTGCCAGCACCCTATGACAAAATGGAACCCACCAGCAGTGTGAGGAGACCTGAAAGTGGCACATGGCAGAGTGTGGCGATGGAGACAGCAGCAATGGGAGGCCGTACAGGGACCCATGACACACTTTGGACCTGGCAGCAGCATGAGGAGGCGGTACAGGGGCCCATGACAGATTACGGGCCTGGCAGCAGCATGAGGAGTCGGTACGGGGGCCCATGGCAGATTACGGGCCTGGCAGCAGCAATGGGAGGCCATACAGCACCCTATGACAAAATGGAACCCACCAGCAGTGTGAGGAGACCTGAAAGTGGCACATGGCAGAGTGTGGCGATGGAGACAGCAGCAATGGGAGGCCGTACAGGGACCCATGACACACTCTGGACCTGGCAGCAGCATGAGGAGGCGGTACAGGGGCCCATGACAGATTACGGGCCTGGCAGCAGCATGAGGAGTCGGTACGGGGGCCCATGGCAGATTACGGGCCTGGCAGCAGCAATGGGAGGCCCGTAATCTGCCAGCACCCTATGACAAAATGGAACCCACCAGTAGTGTGAGGAGACCTGAAAGTGGCACATGGCAGAGTGTGGCGATGGAGACAGCAGCAATGGGAGGCCGTACAGGGACCCATGACACACTCTGGACCTGGCAGCAGCAAGAGGAGGCGGTACAGGGGCCCATGGCAGAGTGGCGAAGCGTAAGCAGCTTAAATTGAAGGCCATACAGAGGCCTATGTTAAAAATAATAACATGTTTGGGGCATGATTCATATCAGATTTAGTCAGTTGTGTCAGGAACTGGTGGTTTGAAATCCAGACTAATCCACGCCTGATTCATTTTCACAAACGTGAGTCTCTCCACACTTTGGGTGGACAGTCGTGCCAACGAGCGACAACTCCCCTCAGCAGAGGTGTTGGAGCCTTGACTGGCTGATAGAGGGCGATTGACGTCGGGTGACGGAGCAAGTAACGGAGCGGGTGATGGAGCGGGGGCTGGGGCAGGCAGAACCGCCGTATCTTTATCACGGTTTTCCCAGGCCACCGAATGGCGACGCTGCATATGCTGACGCAACGCTGTAGTCCCAACATGGGCCCCCTGGCCACGCTTGACTTTCTGGCCACATAGTCGACATACGGCTACGTTCACTTCCTCGGGCGGCTTGACGAAAAATTGCCACACCGCTGAGTAGGAAACTTTGCACCCGCTACTCCACACTGGCTGACTGCTACTTCCTCCGTGCACACCGGCACCACTACTGGCCGTGGTGGTAGGCTGCAGTGGAGCTGGTGCTCTACTCCGTGGCCGTTTGCCTCCACTGACACTGCTGCGACCCTGCTGCCTCCTGGGCAACCCACCGACTGTTTTGCTCGCTGCCAAGCTGCCACCCTCTTCTCCTGATGATGCGGAAGCAATAGCCTGATGACGACGAGGCTGCCAAGTGCGATCAGCCTCATCATCATCAATTAGGGTCTCCGACTCACTACTAGCCCCCTCGGCTGCGTGTGAGTCAGGAGACAGACCTGTCTCTAGACCGGCTACCGAGCCACTCTCCTCGCCACTACTTCTTCGCCTGGCTGCTGAAGAGGCGGATGTCTCCCCCCGTTCCTGACCGCCCTCTGTTAGCTCTTCCTCACTGTACAGTGGGGCTGAGCCCACAGCATGCGATACTTCGCTTGGTGAGGGAACACCAAAGGACAGGGGCAGGTAGAGGACACGTGATTTCAGTGGGCTTGCTCCCGGGCCATGCCAACTAACGGTTGTGTCTGACGTACCCACCGACCGTTGGCTGTAGGTGTCAGAGGTGACCTGGGAAGAGGAAGACGACCGAGCCAACCAATCGATGATGGCAGGGTTGTCGGTGGAGACACGACCGCTGGATGACACCGTGAGCACTGGCCTCTGGCTGCGACTAGTGCTGCCTCGACCCCTTCCTCTGCGGCCACGTCTGCTCGCTCCTGAAACATTGCCTCCTCTGCCACTCCTCTGCGTGTTGTCTGACATACTCTTTAATTCAACGATTCTGTGTCCCTGAGTAATGATTCTGTGTCCCTGAGTAACAATTCTGTGTCCCTGAGTAACGATTCTGTGTCCCTGAGTAACGATTCTGTGTCCCTGAGTAACGATTCTGTGTCCCTCAGTAACGATTCTGTGTCCCTGAGTAACGATTCTGTGTCCCTGAGTAACGATTCTGTGTCCCTGAGTAACGATTCTGTGTCCCTGAGTAACGATTCTGTGTCCCTGAGTAACAATTCTGTGTCCCTGAGTAACGATTCTGTGTCCCTGAGTAACGATTCTGTGTCCCTCAGTAACGATTCTGTGTCCCTGAGTAACGATTCTGTGTCCCTCAGTAACAATTCTGTGTCCCTCAGTAACAATTCTGTGTCCCTGAGTAACAATTCTGTGTCCCTGAGTAACGATTCTGTGTCCCTGAGTAACGATTCTGTGTCCCTGAGTAACGATTCTGTGTCCCTGAGTAACGATTCTGTGTCCCTGAGTAACAATTCTGTGTCCCTGAGTAACAATTCTGTGTCCCTGAGTAACGATTCTATGTCCCCCAGTAACTATTCTGTGTCCCTCAGTAACGATTCTGTGTCCCTGAGTAACAATTCTGTGTCCCTGAGTAACGATTCTGTGTCCCTGAGTAACGATTCTGTGTCCCTCAGTAACAATTCTGTGTCCCTGAGTAACAATTCTGTGTCCCTGAGTAACGATTCTGTGTCCCTCAGTAACAATTCTGTGTCCCTGAGTAACAATTCTGTGTCCCTGAGTAACAATTCTGTGTCCCTCAGTAACGATTCTGTGTCCCTCAGTAACGATTCTGTGTCCCTGAGTAACAATTCTGTGTCCCTCAGTAACGATTCTGTGTCCCTCAGTAACGATTCTGTGTCCCTCAGTAACGATTCTGTGTCCCTGAGTAACGATTCTGTGTCCCTGAGTAACAATTCTGTGTCCCTGAGTAACAATTCTGTGTCCCTGAGTAACGATTCTGTGTCCCCCAGTAACTATTCTGTGTCCCTCAGTAACGATTCTGTGTCCCTGAGTAACAATTCTGTGTCCCTGAGTAACGATTCTGTGTCCCTCAGTAACAATTCTGTGTCCCTGAGTAACAATTCTGTGTCCCTGAGTAACAATTCTGTGTCCCTCAGTAACGATTCTGTGTCCCTCAGTAACGATTCTGTGTCCCTGAGTAACAATTCTGTGTCTGTCCCTGAGTAACAATTCTGTGTCTGTCCCCGAGTAACAATTCTGTGTCCCTGAGTAACAATTCTGTGTCCCTGAGTAACGATTCTGTGTCCTCAGTAACGATTCTGTGTCCCTCAGTAACGATTCTGTGTCCCTGAGTAACAATTCTGTGTCCCTGAGTAACAATTCTGTGTCCCTCAGTAACAATTCTGTGTCCCTCAGTAACGATTCTGTGTCCCTCAGTAACGATTCTGTGTCCCTCAGTAACAATTCTGTGTCCCTGAGTAACAATTCTGTGTCCCTGAGTAACAATTCTGTGTCTGTCCCTGAGTAACAATTTTGTGTCCCTGAGTAACGATTCTGTGTCCCTGAGTAACGATTCTGTGTCCCTCAGTAACAATTCTGTGTCCCTGAGTAACAATTCTGTGTCCCTGAGTAACAATTCTGTGTCTGTCCCTGAGTAACAATTCTGTGTCCCTGAGTAACAATTCTGTGTCCCTCAGTAACAATTCTGTGTCCCTGAGTAACAATTCTGTGTCCCTGAGTAACAATTCTGTGTCTTTCCCTGAGTAACAATTCTGTGTCCCTGAGAAACAATTCTGTGTCCCTGAGTAACAATTCTGTGTCCCTCAGTAACGATTCTGTGTCCCTCAGTAACAATTCTGTGTCCCTGAGTAATAATTCTGTGTCCCTGAGTAACAATTCTGTGTCCCTGAGTAACGATTCTGTGTCCCTGAGTAACGATTCTGTGTCCCTGAGT